GTTTATCAGGGAGATACATTATCTCCTTTATTATTTGGATTTATTACTCTTTTTCTCTTAGACAAAATCAAATCATTTGCATCACATGTTCAGATGTTTGCAGATGATTTGATTTTACTTTTGAAAGGATATTTAATAGAAATCAATTTTTAATTATAAAAATAGATATGAAATAATAAGAGATTTTGGGATGAATCCTAACGATGATAAAAATAAAAAGACTTTAATTCCAATAGAAATTTTATATTTTGGTATTTGATTAGATAAAAAAACTCATTTAAAATTTAACCTTGATAAAGTCATAATCAATTTTAAAAAATTAATCAATATCTTACAACAAAATTTTTTCTAATAGATTAAAAATTCAGTTTTTTAAAGCTGTATTGAATAGCCAATTATTATATGGATTAGAAATATTTGGATTTAACAAAAACAGATTTTAAAGATATTGATACTTGTATTAATAAAAAAATTACAAAATTTTTATTAATCAGCCCACACTCCCATATGCTTATTTATAAAATATAAGCAAAAATTGATCCATCGGAATAATGATTGTATTAAAGAAGAAAAATAAAATAATTAGTAAGATGAAAAAGTTATTTTTGATGAATTAATTAATTATATCCCTTTTAGAAAAAAAGAATATGAAAATATTAATTGGTATTCCAAAAATTTAAAACAACTCGAAATTGGACTAGGCAATTTCAGAATACAAAATTTAGAAAATAGTCCTAGTTGGAATGTCTGGCACTTGATGGCACTTGAAGACACTCCTCAAAAATATTTAAAAATAATACAAATCAATGACACTATAAATAAGCAGTCGTGTCACCAAGTGCATCCAAGTGTCTACGTTTTCTGGTGGCAAAAGAATCGAGAAAAATCTAAGATTTTACTCAATTCTTTTAAATTTTGGAAAACCTAACTACAAAAGATATTTAAAATGGAAGGGTTCAACTTCAATTTTAAAACTCAGAAAATTTTCAAATTACCTTTACAGGTATTTTTATGTTATGAACAAAAACAAATCAGAATATTGTGAATTATGTCAAAAAATAAACAATTTAGAAATCATTGAAGATTTAGACCATTTTCTATTGAATTGCTCACCCTATGGAAATAATCGCAAATATAGATATAAGAATTCAAAAAAAATTAATATATCTAATATATTAGAAAATAATAATATTTCTAATATTATTAAAAAAAAAGATTCAACGTTCTTATTAGCCTTAGTGGGTAATAAACTTATTTTTAAGTCTTTAATAAATTTCCTAAATAAAATTTTAGGAATTCAGAAAGTACCGTGGAGTGCCGTGGGGTGTCGTGGGGTGTCTAGTTTTTCCAGAATTCAAAAGAATAGAGAAAAATCCAAGATTTTACTCAATTCTTTTAAATTCTGGAAAATCTAACAGCAATTTTCTTGAGGTTTTTTGTTTTATCTGTAAAGTGTTCTAGGTTTTTTTGAGGTTTTCTATTTTATTTCTAAAGTAAAAAAAACCGAACGAAAATCTATTGATTTTCCACATAAAGAGAAAACTCAAGAAAACCTAACAACACTTTTTTTTTATTTAAGAAATAAAAAGAAAATATATTTAATTTTCTTTTCATTTCTAAAATTAAAAAAAAGCTAACAACAAAAAAGAGGGGTTAATAACCCTCCCCCTTAAATAATAATAAAATAAAATAAAAATTAAACTTTTTTGATGATTAAAATGATTTTTCAAGTTTATAAAAACTGATTCTTATTTTTAAATGTTTACATTTTCCTTGTAATGTAAGAGGTGAATTTTAGTACAAATCAAAAAAATTTGATCATTTTTTTGTTTTTTTTTTTTTTTTTTTTTAAGAATCAAATAATCCTTCATTTAAGCTATTTCTAAAAAAGTAGTGCAAATTTATTTTAAAATATCTTGATCAAACTTAATCGTCAAAGAAATATTCTAATATACCAATTTAAATATCCAAAATTGTTCTTCGCCAATTATGTATTATTTGGTTTCATTCCAAAATCTCTAATAAAACTCAAGTTTTTTTTTTTTGTTGGTTTTTTTTAATTTCGTATTCATATTCCAAAAAAATCTTCAATATTGATCTTTCAAATATGTTTTATTTTAATCTAATTTTCATTCAATTAATACTCTTTGAGAAATATCTTAATTACTCTTATTTATGACTGGTAATCAAAAATGAAACACCATTACGATAATTTTAAGATTATCTAAACTTGTAAAAAGGATGGGGGGAGGGGGGGTGATCTTCAAGTTAATCCATTTTTCGTTTTTGAAAATTATCTTTATTTTTAAACATTTATTTATGATATAAATATTACAAAAAAATTATGTGATTTCTGTGGTTTTTGTGATTCTAGAAATTTATTGAAACACATATGAAAAATCGGTGTTTTAATTTTTTTATTTTTGGATTTATTGTTAAGAGTTAAATGTTATAAAAACAAAACATTTAATCTGGTAAAGAGAGAATTTTCAAGTGGTTAAATTTGTGACTTCCAATTAAAAGTGAGTACAGGCACAAAGTGTCTAGACACATTCATTAGAAGTATTTGAAACTTAATTTTCTCAAAGAATATACAGGGTCTATTTGAAAAAAAAATGAAGAAATGTAAAACAAGAAGAAGTAGAAAAAAATGAAGAAATTAAAAATAAGTGGTGTGTAATCCCTGGGGTTGTTTGATACAAATGAATTTGTACGTTTAACGGTTGCTAGGATTTATTTGGTTTTGAGCTCTTTTTTTCTAATGAAATGTTGAGTCATATAGACCAAAAAGTATTCTATGGTGATGTTAGAGATTTCTTTTATTTTCATTTTACTCGTTTTTTTAAGTTTTGGATTTATTGTTAAGAGTTAAATGTTATAAAAAGAAGACATTTAATCTGGTGAAGAGAGAATTTTGGAGTGGCTAAATTCGTGTATTCTAATTCAAGGAGTGAATAAGCACTGAAATTAGAAGTATTTTAAACTTGATTTGGTTTTTTAAATTTTTTAAGTTTTGAATTTATTATTAAGAATTAAATGTTATTAAAAAGAAACCGTTAATCTGGTAAAAAGAGAAACTTGAAGTGGATAAATCCCTGTAATCTAATTCAAAAAGTGAATAAAAACAATCATTAGAAGTATTTTTAACTTTGTTTGATTTTCTAAAATAAAATGAAGAGTCTATATAAAAGAAAGCGGGGGATTCTTGTTAACGGACTTTGGATTTCTAATTGCAAAAAATAAAATTTAAGAATGAAAGAATAAAAATGTTTGAGAAAGAAAGAGAAATCCAAAAATCAAAAATAATTTTCAGAAATCAAAAAAAAAAAAAAAAAACAATCCAAAACATTTTTATTATTATTTCATTAAATTGATTTTTTTGCAATTATAAACCTCAAGTTCGTTAATGCAAAACCTCTCCCGTCGGGGAGTACTGGAAAAGTTTTTTAGTTTTGGAAAAAATAGCAAATTTTAGTAAAAAAACTTAAAATATTAAGGCATCACTTTTTGGACATATGTATTACAAAAATTTCAGAGAAAATTAACTCTATTTTTATCATGAAAATTTTTTCAATTTGATCCTTAATTTTTAGAATTTCTTTTTTAATAATAAAACTTTAAGAAATCAGTGCTATCTTTAATTAGGGTTTTATTGTTGGTTTCTCTTACCGTTGATGTATATGTCTTCTATAACAAAAAAACACTTTTCATTTTGAAAGATAAATTAAACTTTTTTGCACGTATTATTTTGACAACAGTATATAAATTGAATTTTCTATTTCAAAAAGCACAATTTTATAAGAGACAACCAATCTCCATTTCTTGGATTTTTTTACGCTAGTGTGGAAATGACTGTATAAGAAGTTCTGAAATTAATATGAGCTGAATAATTTTTCGAGTTTTTTCTTTGATTAAATGAGTTTGTAGGTGAATGAAAAAACAGGAAATCGAAATGAAAAATTTTTACCATTAAACATCCAAAAATCGAGCAAAAACAAATTATTGCTTTTGAAAATATACTCCCATTTTCAGAATTACAAACCCAGAGGATCACTCTTTTTCTTTTTTTTGAATTAATCAATTATTTTTTAGAATCATTTGAATATTCGAAATTCGAAGCAAATATTTTAAAACAAAAGAGATGAAAAGCGAAGCAACTTATGATTTGTGAAAGTTGTATTGGAAATTTTGATTTATAAAAACCATTCCTTTGAAGATTCAATCATCTAAATTGGTTGTTATGTCATAATTTTTTTTTAAAAAGACCAAACAAAAAGATAAAAAGGAAAAAATTATCATTCAAACAATAAAATTGTACATTTTCTTTTTCCAAAACTGTTGATGTTGTGGTGAGCAATTGATTTAAATTTTCGGTGTTTTGATCTTCATTTGAAGAATTGCTGAAAAAGGTGCTCAGATCTTCGCTTAATTGTAGTGACGTGCCTTGCAGTTTATCCAAACAATTAATAAAGTTGATGAGTTTTTGATTTCTTTTTTTTGTTCGTTAGTGTGTTAATTTGTGAGAGAAGAAAAAGAACAAATGTCGAAAAGTAAAAGGAATAGTTCCATTGATTAAGAACTCTTTTTTGTTTTTTAGATTGAAAAAGGATCAAAACAAACATTGCTTCAGTGTCTTGTTTTAAATTTACAAAGGATCCCAGTGATTCATCAAAACCGAGGTCTACAGTTTTGTTTGCTTTCCCAAACGATTGAAGGAGTTTTTGTTGGTTTCTTTGGAGATATTTGCGAACTTTGACTTTCTTTTGCATGAAATAAAAAGGAAAAAAAATGAAGAATGTGTTTCAGAATTTGTTGTATTGGGGGTAAATTTTTGAAGACCACCAATTATTTTGGGTTTTGTGGGAAATTCGAAGGTTTTGAAAGTCGAACAAAAAAAATTTTCTAAAAACAAATTGAAAAAAAAATATAAATAACAAATTTAAAAAAATTAAAAAAACCAAATTTAATAAAATTAAAAACACCAAATTTAACAGTTACTTTCTCGGATAGCTTAGTCGGCAGAGCGCCGTGCTTATAATATTACAAATATACCTTTTAAGATTCACTTCTTAAATTGCACGAAGATACGCGGAGGTCGAGAGTTCGATCCTCTCTCTGAGAAATTTTTTTTGATATTTTTTTCTTTTTTTTTAATTTTTCATTTTTTTTTAATATTTTTTGAAAAATTTTTGTTATTTGATATGTGTTTTTAAGAATTGTAAAATGGAAAAAAACTGTTGAGTTGGTTATTAATTGTAAAATCAATTCTTCTTCATTAAATTTTTTTTTTTAAATATTGAACCAAACCATTTCGAAAGACTAATAAAATGGAAGGATTTTGGAAAATAAATTGAAAATTTTCATTTCACTTTTCAAAAAAAAATCCCTCCAAAACCCAACCAAATCTAGGAAAGGTTTGAAAAAGTATCAGTCTTTTCAACTAGAAGTCTGTTTAGTCAGCAAATTCTGTTCCGAAAGAAATTGTTAATTTTCTTTTCAGAAATGATTAGGAAAAAGTTACCAAGCAAAGAATTCTTTTTTTAACTTTACACAATTCATTTTTGTATTCAATAACAAAGTTAGCACTCAACCAAAAATAAAAAACGCATGTTCTACTTTTTCTCTTGGATATTACTCGTTTTTGTTGACAAAAAAGAATTTTTTGGGAAAGATGGTCAAAAAAAAAAAACAAAAAACAAAAAAAAAGTAAAAATTAATGTAGCTTTTTTATTGGGACTATGTTTGTTCGTTGTTTGAAAGAGTATTTGAAAAGTTTTAGATGTTTCGGAAAATAATTAGAGAAGAAACTTGATGATCAATCAAGATTAAGTTTTTCATTGGAGCGTTTTATTTTTTATCATAAAGGACATTAGACAAAAATAAAAAAATGCACACAATTCAAGAAAATGACTTCCTTTTGGATTTAGTTGTTTTCCATCACAAAAATGAAAAAAATAAAATGGAAAGATCACAAAGATTTCTGCTTTTTTGAAAAATTTGTTTTGTTTAGCTGTTTCTGCTTTTTTTGAAAATTTGTTTTTCTGTTTGTTTTTTTTTTGAAAAATGTTTAACAGAAAATAACACAACCAAAAAAATAAGAAATTTACCTTGTAAAAATCCTTAATTTTGAATATTTTCAATTAATTCAATTAACTCATCAGAGACCGGAACTCGTTTTTTTTTATCATAGCTCCAAATGTGTTCACCAAGATCTTCAACAGTCGACATGTCAGTGTGAGTTTCTGGCACAACGTATACATCAAAACGTGTTCCATCGCCACCAGATACACGGATCTTTTTAACAGTGTGTCCTTGTTTTTCTAACTTTTCTGAGATTACACGTGCCCGTCCATTTACAGATCACCCTCCTTTGTATTTTAAGATAACTTTCATTGTTTTTAATAATTAAGAAAAAAAATTTAAAGTGAAAAATTGAATAAAAAAATGAAATATTTTATCGTTGAAATCTAACAAAAATGGCTTGTCTGTTTCATTCTATTGAAATTATTTCAAAATATTTCAAAATCGTGCTCTTGAAATAAGATTTTTGTGTTTTTTTATCTTTCAATGAATTAAGGTTAAGGGATTAGCCTCACAATAGATTTCTCTATAATCAAAGTATGTTGTAATTGGGTGTAAATGGTATTAGTTCACCATGGCTCGAATAGCTCTAAAAAATCTATTATAAATCTTATTGCTCAATAAATTATTACATTTTTTACTAATAATCACAATTAAAAATTTTCATTTTGGAAATTTTTTAATTAATACCTTTTCCCAATCTAAAAATAAAAACCCAAAATATAGTATTCTGGTATTTAATAATTTAGATTTAGAACTTCCAAAAGTAACTATTTTTAGAATTTTTGAATTTCAAAGATTAACTCAATAATCATCAACATAAAATCACCAAAGACTGATTAGTTTTGTTTGCTTTTGATAAGTCTACTTATAGCATCAATATATTTCCATGATTTGAGAAATAATTTGTCAAAAAACTTTATTGGTTAATTATTTGTTTTTAAAAAAAAACGAATTGTTTAGTAACTAATCTACATTTCGCCATAAATTTAAGAAAGATATTTTATGACTTTGTAGTCTGAATATTGATAATTCAATCTTTAAATTTATGGCGAAATGCAGATTTTATTCTGAATTTGCTGGGTTTTTTACTAATACATACATCATTTTTAATTGATGGGATCAACAAATATTACTACTTTGCAATCGATTTTTTAGAGACATTTCAACCATGTAACACTAATGCGGTTAGGTCCAATAACAACATACTTTGATCCTAGGCTTCTCCTTGGTAGATGCTAATCCCTTAACAATCCCTGAAATTTGAAAAAAAGATTATCTTGTGTTGGGTGTAGTGAATTGTTCATTTAGTTCCTAACTTATTGATCTTGTGATTGATATAGGTTTTAATAATGGTTCAAAATGACAATTTTTGACAATTTATTTTTTTTTCTTCAGAAATCTGAAATTAAGAGTGAAAAATTCTTTGGCTGGAACTCAAGTTATAAAAAAATATGGTTTGTGGGTTGTTGATTACAATTTTTAATTAGGTTTGGTTATATTTTGAGCTTTTATAAAAAAATTTTTTTTTTCATTTAGTTAATTTACAAAAAAGTAATTAAAATTTGAATCAATCACCCAAAAATCAAAATTTATTCCTGAACACCTACCAATCCATTAACCTTACACTCTTCAATTCGGATTTTGAAAGAAAAAAAAATAAATTGTCAAAAATTGCCATTTTGAACCATTATTAAAACCTATATCAATCAAAAGATCGATAAGCTAAGAACTAAATGAACAATTCACTACACCCAACACAAGATAATCTTTTTTCAAATTTCGGGGATTATTAACCTTAAATAGATTGAAGTAAAGTTATTTAAAACTATTTTTCACTTCCAAATTGATTTAAGACACAAAGCCAACAATAATAGTATTCTCAGTAATATAAACTTTTATAAAATATTTGAAAAAATAACTCTTATTTTAGAATTTTTAAACATTGATATTTATTTGAAAGTCATGTTTTATTTTAATCTGATTAATATGAAATGAAATATATTTAAAAGTGTGTTATTTTTTTTTTTTGAGAATGTTGGGAAAGTGGTAATTAAATAATCTACTGAAATGTACTGGTATTTGAAATCTCAATGGGATATATTTTCATCTGATTATTTATTAAACATAAGCGAATATTAGTTAAACACAATCATAAAATAATTTTTTCAAAAAAAAATTAAATATTTGTTCATTTTACCCTTTTTGATCACTTCAATTAGAATCAACACTATTAGTTAATTAAAGATCTTTGACAATTGTAAAACAGATTTTTAAAGATATTTTAGAATTTAAGTTGGAAAATTCAATTTTCTGGAAAGATTTTCTTCAAATTTAATAGCAAAAAATTTGATATATAAACTCTTTTTTAAAAATTGTGACTAACCTGAAATAATAAATTGAAAAAAAAAAAAAATAATCATTTAGTATTCAAGAACAATTAATAACTAAATCTGAGTTGTAATTCACTTTTAAGTCATTCTAAATCTATAAAAGCCTGTATATATTAAAAATTAAAAAAAATAAAACCAAAAACTAAAAAAAAGTGAGTCACAATTTTTGAAATGAGTATTACAGATTTTTTATTAATGAACTTTCACTGAAAAAAAGTTAACCAATAAGATTTTTTATGAATAATTAAATCCATTTTCAAAGACATTACATAGTCAAAATTTTCTTAGTGATTATTTGTCTTTTCGAAGATCTCTTTTTTTTTTTCGCATGATCTTTTAAAAAAAAAAAAAAAAAAAAAAAAAAAAAAAAAAAAAAAAAAGAAAAAAAAAGAAAATAAAAAAAAAAGAAAAAGAAAAATTTTTCAAAGAAAAAGAAAAACTAAAATTTTCAAAATTAGAAAAAATGATTCTGATAGAAAAGTTTGGAAAATATTTTTTGTAAAGAATACTGGAATAAACCCTCAAAACAACTCTCATTAACATTATAAAGTGAGTCAAAATTTTTGAAAAATAGTTTATATAGAGAAAATTGGAAAAATGTAGATATTTGTAGATTCTCGACATTTGTAGACAATTTTTTTTTCACAATCTGCTTGAAAATGATAAATATTGTTTGAGCGAAGCGAGACACTTCATTTGTTATGACTTATTTTTAGTCTTGGTTTAAAATAGCTGATATTTGCAAAGCAAATGTATATTATTTTTAATTTTCCATTAATTTTCTCAAAAAAATAATATACTTGGTGGGAATCGAACCTAGGTTAGGTGTTCCCTAGTACAACTATCGCACTGAAAAAAGCTACAAATGTCGAGAATCTACAAAAATCTACAAAAATTATCATCAGCCTTTATATATATATATATTCACAGATAAGATGTGACCTTATTCTATTTTAAAAGTATTTTAAATCTGATAGGTATCTTTCAAATGTATAATTAATTATTTTGACTATTATGAAATTATTTATTGATATAAATTGAAATAAATTTTTTTTTTTTATGATTTTCTGTTAGGTTTTTTTTAATTTTTGGAATAAACTGAAAATTTTCATAAATTTTCAGTTTATTTCAAAAAGTAAAAAAAACCTAGGACACTTTCGTTAGGTTTTCCAGAATTCAAAAGAGTTGAGTAAAATCTTAAGATTTTATTCAAAAAACCTAGAAACCCTCAAGAAAACCTAGGCACTCTACTGTATTCTACGACACTCTACGGTACTTGATGGACACTTCCGTTAGGTTTTTTTAATTATTGAAATAATCTGAAAATTTAAGAAATATTTGGTTTATTTAAAAAAGTAAAAAAAAAAAAACGAGAAAACTTACAATAATTATCTAAATGTTTTTTTATACCCTATATGGGTTTTATTGGATACATAAATTATTTTTTGAATTATTGGTTGTTACATATTTTTGTAAATATCTCAAAATTGGATTTAATTGAAATTCATTTAATATCAATTATTTTAAATTTCTTTCGACTAAAAAATACTTTTTTTTCTCCTCTCGGGGATTTTAAAAAAAAATATACTTTTTCCTAGAATAAATACAATTCCCTTTAGAATTTGAAGTTCTGAAATTTTTCTTATAT